AGCCTGGCCCTCCAGTACTTTTCATGTGTATATTATTTGATATCTCTCTCATCTCCTTTCTAGGGAGTACATTCGGAGAGCTTTGAGATGATCCCAATAGTTAAGGTGCTTTATTGTGTCTATGTATCTAAAGGGGAAGTGAGTATGGAGCAGTATTCAAGAAGGACAGCACAAGTGATTTTAATAAAACCACTATTGTGATGGGATCTCTGGATTTAAAGGTTCTCATAATCCATTCTATAATTTTTCTGGCTGAAGCTATGTTTGCTTGGTTATGCTCGCTAAACGTTAGGTCATCAGACATCATTATTCCCACATCATCGAACAGCCTGGTTGATCAGACCAGCAACCAGAAAGCCTGGTTAGAGAATGGCCAATGGGGGACATTGGTTCTTGGAATCAACAGGTAGATACAGGCCACAGATAATATGATTTGTACTCAAGTTTTAGCTTTTGAACTATTGAAAAAACGAAAATATTAAAATGGAAACTGTTATGGTTGTTGAGGAATGTTGGGATTGCTACCTCCAACTACAGATGTTGGAGGTAGCATATTTGGAGCAGATGCTCTTTTGTTTATGATCTTGTTAATAATATTTCATGTACCTGATAATTGTTTTGTTGTTGTTACTGGCGGAGAATAAAACCATGTGGACGAAGATTGTTTCTCTTACCACAACCATAACAGAAACCATATATAAAACCCAGTCAAATCATACTGTAAAACAATAAGGCATCTAGATCTGGAAAGTTCTAGATACAATCATGTTGGAAGACCTTATACTTTAAAGAATACAGTACAATAAAGTATCTGTCACATCTGCATGAACAAAAGTCAGTCTTCAAGAAAAAACTGGACATTTTTCTGCAAGAAGTGCCGGACTAATGTGGTCGTGCGGGCCACTCCAAGCAACAGATTGTTGGACCAAGCTCTCACAAGTTAAGCTTGGTCCAAGCCTGGCTTGAGTAGAAGAACTCGGAACCTCATTCAGGTACAGGGCCATCTACAATAACAATGACAGGTTGCATAATAAGAACCTTTCAAAGAAGGGATGCTGTATTGATAATACTTATCAAAACACTAGTAATCTCTAGGGTGGAATAATGTTGCTTAATAACAGCCCCAGTCTCTAGAGAAAACTGGATAGTTTTCTTAAAGAAGTGCCGGACCAACCGGGCTTTGGTGGATATGTGCACCTGCGGGCTGCTCCAAGCAACAGCCTGGCTGCTTCAAACTTACAAGTCAGGGCTTGGGGAGTAGAACTTCTCCCAGAACCCCATCCAGGTATAGGTACATTCAAAAATAGAGAAATTGCGTACCTGGATAGTGTGCAAAGCGTCATTACTGCTAGAATTCCCCTCTATATAACTTCTAAATTATTGGGACTGTTTAGAAAGGATGAAACTGTATTCTCTAGAGCCCAGGCAAGAGAGATGCATAATAATTTACACCTGGAAAATATTAGGAGAACTAGTTCCAAATCTGCACATGGAAATAACATCACATGAGACCAAGAAGCATGGCAGGATGTGCAAAATACAGTAGCCCCCATTGAAAAGCAGATGTACAATGGTACAACCCGTTCTCGCAAATTTAATAAGTCAATATTGACTTATTAAATATGTGCATAGGTGACATACTTAACATAATAGATACCCTTATAAAGATTCATAGAAAACACCGACCTTACCTAACCTTGTTAGTATCTTAAGATAAGCATCTTATTGCTTCGTAATTACAATTATTACCTAACCTGTAATAGGTATAGGTTAAGTAATAATTGTAATTACGAAGCAATAAGATGCTTATCTTAAGATACTAACAAGGTTAGGTAAGGTCGGTGTTTTCTATGAATCTTTTTAAGGGTATCTATTATGTTTAGTATATCACCTATGCACGTAGTTAATAAGTCAATATTGACTTTACGAATTTGCGAGAACGGGTTGAATGGTAAGCTGAGACAGAACTCTATCAACATCAAAGGCCAAGACTTTTCAACACTACCTCTTCATAAAGGACATAACTGGCTGGCCTCTCAAGGTGTTCAAGAGAGAACTTTATAAACACCTCTTAAGGATACCTGATTCACCAGGCTGCCTGATTCATAAATCAGACTGCGAGCAGCAGTGTCCAATAACCAGGTTGACTAGACCTGGAGGCTGGGTCAGAAACTGGGTTGCAAGGATGTCAATTCATAGAATCACTACAAGGTAGCCACAAGGTAGGTAGGTAGGTAGATGAAGAAATAATATAGTTAGGTACCTTTGTACATAATTTTGTTGTTGTGCCCCGGGGGGATTAGATCAAATATCCAAACGACTACATTCTCAATTACGATTGAGATTTATGAGAAATTAAGAATTATAGCAGAGTTGTTTGGCTGGGAGAATGTAATGTGTACTTGAATTCGAGGGTGGAGGGTCCGGCACATGGCATCCCAGTCTTTGGTCACTCATTTCTCAGGAAATACTTACCATTAAGATCTGATAATATAGGATTTGTCAGTACTGTACCTTTCAGTGCCATCTTTATTTAGTTTTGTGCTAGAAAACCATATGCTTGTATTCGGTGACTCGAGGTAATATAGTGTGTTTGGCATACATTGGTGGTACAGTATTTTCAATTGATTTGAAAAGACTGTATTGGTACAGTACTGCATTTAGTTTTGGTATCTGAAGACCAGATATGGAGCCTGTTTCTGTGCTAGGTGCGAGATACTATTTATTACCCATACCCTGTAATGCAACTCTCTAGGTGTCTATCTTGGTGTTATTCTACAGTTTAAGGACTGTACATCTGCCTGGAAACAAGAGAGAACAAAATGAAAAAATATATTATTAAATATAAAGATAAAAATTATTAGTTTATTATTTTTGCAAGAGCCATGCATTGAATCACCATTACCATATTTATTCTAATAAATTTATGTTGATACCTTCCTGGTTTTAATGTGTGTTTGGAGTTCTGTATAATCAAAGATTTCCTGTCTTTTTTGTGGTTTCGTTCTCTGCAAGTGTGGAGGTGTTACAGGATTTTTCTGGTGCTGTTCTCTGGAAACCAGCAGCTGTCCGGTGAATAGTGATGTTACCCCTTTGTGATGCATCAAGGGTGAGCATGAAAGACATGAAATGCTTGACTGTTCAGGCATTCCTTGACATTATTCCACTTGTGTGTTTTTTTTACAGGTGACGTTTGTGTTTTGGACATTCCTGTTGACACGAAGACAGAATGCTGTCGGTTGGGGACAAAATCCTATTTATTTGCATCTCCCCACGAGGACCTACTTTTTACCTTTGCAACAGAATCAGGTAATTCAAATATATGAAATAATCTATTATATTACTGTATAAGTTTTGAGTTCCCCCTGTTTATTGGAGTATGACAATCTATATAGTAGAGAAAGTACATTAAAAAAACATTTCCCTCTTGACAGCCCATTTCATTAGTAAGTTTAGTGAAAAAGGTGAGAGTTTAAACATCACGCTCTTGTGGGACATGAACATGATGCTCTTGTGGGACATGAACATGATGCTCTTGTGGGACATGAACATGACGCTCTTGTGGGACATGAACATGACGCTCTTGTGGGACATGAACATGATGCTCTTGTGGGACATGAACATCACGCTCTTGTGGGACATGAACATGATGCTCTTGTGGGACATGAACATCACGCTCTTGTGGGACATGAACATGATGCTCTTGTGGGACATGAACATGATGCTCTTGTGGGACATGAACATGATGCTCTTGTGGGACATGAACATCACGCTCTTGTGGGACATGAACATGATGCTCTTGTGGGACATGAACATCACGCTCTTGTGGGACATGAACATGATGCTCTTGTGGGACATGAACATGATGCTCTTGTGGGACATGAACATGATGCTCTTGTGGGACATGAACATCACGCTCTTGTGGGACATGAACATGATGCTCTTGTGGGACATGAACATCACGCTCTTGTGGGACATGAACATGATGCTCTTGTGGGACATGAACATGAAGCTCTTGTGGGACATGAACATGATGCTCTTGTGGGACATGAACATCACGCTCTTGTGGGACATGAACATGATGCTCTTGTGGGACATGAACATCACGCTCTTGTGGGACATGAACATGATGCTCTTGTGGGACATGAACATCACGCTCTTGTGGGACATGAACATGATGCTCTTGTGGGACATGAACATCACGCTCTTGTGGGACATGAACATGATGCTCTTGTGGGACATGAACATGATGCTCTTGTGGGACATGAACATGATGCTCTTGTGGGACATGAACATCACGCTCTTGTGGGACATGAACATGATGCTCTTGTGGGACATGAACATCACGCTCTTGTGGGACATGAACATGATGCTCTTGTGGGACATGAACATGATGCTCTTGTGGGACATGAACATGATGCTCTTGTGGGACATGAACATGATGCTCTTGTGGGACATGAACATGATGCTCTTGTGGGACATGAACATGATGCTCTTGTGGGACATGAACATGATGCTCTTGTGGGACATGAACATCATGCTCTTGTGGGACATGAACATGATGCTCTTGTGGGACATGAACATGATGCTCTTGTGGGACATGAACATGATGCTCTTGTGGGACATGAACATGATGCTCTTGTGGGACATGAACATGATGCTCTTGTGGGACATGAACATGCTCTTGTGGGACATGAACATCATGCTCTTGTGGGACATGAACATCACGCTCTCTGTGGGACATGAACATCTCTTGTGGGACATGAACATGATGCTCTTGTGGGACATGAACATCTCTTGTGGGACATGAACATCACGCTCTTGTGGGACATGAACATCACGCTCTTGTGGGACATGAACATGATGCTCTTGTGGGACATGAACATGATGCTTGTGGGACATGAACATCATGCTCTTGTGGGACATGAACATGATGCTCTTGTGGGACATGAACATCACGCTCTTGTGGGACATGAACATGATGCTCTTGTGGGACATGAACATGATGCTCTTGTGGGACATGAACATGATGCTCTTGTGGGACATGAACATGATGCTCTTGTGGGACATGAACATCACGCTCTTGTGGGACATGAACATGATGCTCTTTTGGGACATGAACATCACGCTCTTGTGGGACATGAACATGATGCTCTTGTGGGACATGAACATCACGCTCTTGTGGGACATGAACATGCTCTTGTGGGACATGAACATCATGCTCTTGTGGGACATGAACATCATGCTCTTGTGGGACATGAACATCATGCTCTCACGTGGGACATGAACATCACATGCTCTCTTGTGGGACATGAACATCACATGCTCTTGTGGGACATGAACATCACATGCTCTTGTGGGACATGAACATCACGCTCTTGTGGGACATGAACATCACGCTCTTGTGGGACATGAACATGATGCTCTTGTGGGACATGAACATGATGCTCTTGTGGGACATGAACATCACGCTCTTGTGGGACATGAACATCACGCTCTTGTGGGACATGAACATGATGCTCTTGTGGGACATGAACATGATGCTCTCGTGGGACATGAACATCATGCTCTTGTGGGACATGAACATCACGCTCTGTGGGACATGAACATGCTCTTGTGGGACATGAACATCACGCTCTTGTGGGACATGAACATGATGCTCTTGTGGGACATGAACATCATGCTCTCGTGGGACATGAACATGATGCTCTTGTGGGACATGAACATGATGCTCTTGTGGGACATGAACATCACGCTCTTGTGGGACATGAACATCACGCTCTTGTGGGACATGAACATGATGCTCTTGTGGGACATGAACATGATGCTCTTGTGGGACATGAACATCATGTTCTCGTGGGACATGAACATGATGCTCTTGTGGGACATGAACATGATGCTCTTGTGGGACATGAACATCATGCTCTCGTGGGACATGAACATGATGCTCTTGTGGGACATGAACATGATGCTCTTGTGGGACATGAACATGATGCTCTTGTGGGACATGAACTGATGTGTCTTGTGGGACATGAACATCATGCTCTCGTGGGACATGAACATGATGCTCTTGTGGGACATGAACATGATGCTCTTGTGGGACATGAACATGATGCTCTTGTGGGACATGAACATGATGCTCTTGTGGGACATGAACATCACGCTCTTGTGGGAGATGAACATGATGCTCTTGTGGGACATGAACATGATGCTCTTGTGGGACATGAACATGATGCTCTTGTGGGACATGAACATGATGCTCTTGTGGGACATGAACATCACGCTCTTGTGGGACATGAACATCATGCTCTTGTGGGACATGAACAGGAAGCTCTTGTGGGACATGAACATCATGCTCTTGTGGGACATGAACATCATGCTCTTGTGGGACATGAACATCATGCTCTTGTGGGACATGAACATCATGCTCTCGTGGGACATGAACATCATGCTCTTGTGGGACATGAACATGATGCTCTTGTGGGACATGAACATCATGCTCTTGTGGGACATGAACATGATGCTCTTGTGGGACATGAACATGATGCTCTTGTGGGACATGAACATCATGCTCTTGTGGGACATGAACATGATGCTCTTGTGGGACATGAACATGATGCTCTTGTGGGACATGAACATCATGCTCTTGTGGGACATGAACATCATGTTCTCGTGGGACATGAACATGATGCTCTTGTGGGACATGAACATGATGCTCTTGTGGGACATGAACATCATGTTCTCGTGGGACATGAACATGATGCTCTTGTGGGACATGAACATCATGGTCTTGTGGGACATGAACATGATGCTCTTGTGGGACATGAACATGATGCTCTTGTGGGACATGAACATGATGCTCTTGTGGGACATGAACATGATGCTCTTGTGGGACATGAACATGATGCTCTTGTGGGACATGAACATCACGCTCTTGTGGGACATGAACATCATGCTCTTGTGGGACATGAACATCATGCTCTTGTGGGACATGAACATGATGCTCTTGTGGGACATGAACATCACGCTCTTGTGGGACATGAACATCACGCTCTTGTGGGACATGAACATCACGCTCTTGTGGGACATGAACATCACGCTCTTGTGGGACATGAACATGATGCTCTTGTGGGACATGAACATGATGCTCTTGTGGGACATGAACATCATGCTCTTGTGGGACATGAACATGATGCTCTTGTGGGACATGAACATCATGCTCTTGTGGGACATGAACATCATGCTCTTGTGGGACATGAACATCATGCTCTTGTGGGACATGAACATCATGCTCTTGTGGGACATGAACATCATGCTCTTGTGGGACATGAACATCATGCTCTTGTGGGACATGAACATCATGCTCTTGTGGGACATGAACATCATGCTCTTGTGGGACATGAACATCATGCTCTTGTGGGACATGAACATCATGCTCTTGTGGGACATGAACATCATGCACTTGTGGGACATGAACATCATGCTCTTGTGGGACATGAACATCATGCTCTTGTGGGACATGAACATCATGCTCTTGTGGGACATGAACATCATGCTCTTGTGGGACATGAACATGCTCGTGTGGGACATGAACATCATGCTCTTGTGGGACATGAACATCATGCTCTTGTGGGACATGAACATCATGCTCTTGTGGGACATGAACATCATGCTCTTGTGGGACATGAACATCTCTTGTGGGACATGAACAGGAAGCTCTCGTGTGACATGAACATCATGCTCTTGTGGGACATGGGACATGAACATCATGCTCTTGTGGGACATGAACATCATGCTCTTGTGGGACATGAACATCATGCTCTTGTGGGACATGAACATCATGCTCTCGTGGGACATGAACATCATGCTCTTGTGGGACATGAACATCATGCTCTCGTGGGACATGAACATCATGCTCTTGTGGGACATGAACATCATGCTCTTGTGGGACATGAACATGATGCTCTTGTGGGACATGAACAGGAAGCTCTTGTGGGACATGAACATCATGCTCTTGTGGGACATGAACATCATGCTCTTGTGGGACATGAACATCATGCTCTTGTGGGACATGAACATCATGCTCTTGTGGGACATGAACATCATGCTCTTGTGGGACATGAACATCATGCTCTTGTGGGACATGAACATCATGTGCTCTTGTGGGACATGAACATCATGCTCTCGTGGGACATGAACATCATGCTCTTGTGGGACATGAACATCATGCTCTCGTGGGACATGAACATCATGCTCTTGTGGGACATGAACATCATGCTCTCGTGGGACATGAACATCATGCTCTTGTGGGACATGAACATGATGCTCTTGTGGGACATGAACATCACTTGAACATCATGCTCTTGTGGGAACATGATGCTCTTGTGGGACATGAACATGCTCTTGTGGGACATGAACATCATGCTCTTGTGGGACATGAACATCATGCTCTTGTGGGACATGAACATCATGCTCTTGTGGGACATGAACATCATGCTCTTGTGGGACATGAACATCATGCTCTTGTGGGACATGAACATGATGCTCTTGTGGGACATGAACATCATGCTCTTGTGGGACATGAACAGGATGCTCTTGTGGGACATGAACATCATGCTCTTGTGGGACATGAACATGGTGCTCTTGTGGGACATGAACAGGATGCTCTTGTGGGACATGAACATGGTGCTCTTGTGGGACATGAACATCATGCTCTTGTGGGACATGAAACATCATGCTCTGTGTGGACATGAACATCATGCTCTTGTGGGACATGAACATCACGCTCTTGTGGGACATGAACATGATGCTCTTGTGGGACATGAACATGATGCTCTTGTGGGACATGAACATGATGCTCTTGTGGGACATGAACATCATGCTCTTGTGGGACATGAACATGATGCTCTTGTGGGACATGAACAGGAAGCTCTTGTGGGACATGAACATCATGCTCTTGTGGGACATGAACATCATGCTCTTGTGGGACATGAACATCATGCTCTTGTGGGACATGAACATGATGCTCTTGTGGGACATGAACAGGATGCTCTTGTGGGACATGAACATCATGCTCTTGTGGGACATGAACAGGAAGCTCTTGTGGGACATGAACATCATGCTCTTGTGGGACATGAACATCATGCTCTTGTGGGACATGAACATGATGCTCTTGTGGGACATGAACATCATGCTCTTGTGGGACATGAACATCATGCTCTTGTGGGACATGAACATCATGCTCTTGTGGGACATGAACATGATGCTCTTGTGGGACATGAACATGATGCTCTTGTGGGACATGAACATGATGCTCTTGTGGGACATGAACATGATGCTCTTGTGGGACATGAACAGGATGCTCTTGTGGGACATGAACATCATGGTCTTGTGGGACATGAACATCATGCACTTGTGGGACATGAACATCATGCTCGTGTGGGACATGAACATCATGCTCTCGTGTGACATGAACATCATGCTCTCGTGGGACATGAACATCATGCTCTTGTGGGACATGAACATCATGCTCTTGTGGGACATGAACATCATGCTCTTGTGGGACATGAACATCATGCTCTCGTGGGACATGAACATCATGCTCTTGTGGGACATGAACATCATGCTCTTGTGTGACATGAACATCATGCTCTCGTGTGACATGTGGGACATGAACATCATGCTCTTGTGGGACATGAACATCATGCTCTTGTGGGACATGAACATGCTCTTGTGGGACATGAACATCATGCTCTTGTGGGACATGAACATCATGCTCTTGTGGGACATGAACATCATGCTCTTGTGGGACATGAACATCATGCTCTTGTGGGACATGAACATCATGCTCTTGTGGACATGAACATCATGCTCTTGTGGGACATGAACATCATGCTCTTGTGGGACATGAACATCATGCTCTTGTGGGACATGAACATCATGCTCTTGTGGGACATGAACATCTTGTGGGATGCTCTGCTGTGGGACATGAACATGATGCTCTTGTGGGACATGAACATCATGCTCTTGTGGGACATGATGCTCTTGTGGGACATGAACATGATGCTCTTGTGGGACATGAACATCATGCTCTTGTGGGACATGAACTCTTGTGGGACATCAACATCATGCTCTTGTGGGACATGAACATCATGCTCTTGTGGGACATGAACATCATGCTCTTGTGGGACATGAACATCATGCTCTTGTGGGACATGAACATCATGCTCTTGTGGGACATGAACATGATGCTCTGCTGTGGGACATGAACATGATGCTCTTGTGGGACATGAACATCATGCTCTTGTGGGACATGAACATCATGCTCTTGTGGGACATGAACATCATGCTCTTGTGGGACATGAACATCATGGTCTTGTGGGACATGAACATCATGCACTTGTGGGACATGAACATCATGCTCTTGTGGGACATGAACATCATGCTCTTGTGGGACATGAACATCATGCTCTTGTGGGACATGAACATCATGCTCTTGTGGGACATGAACACATGAACATGCTCTTGTGGGACATGAACATCATGCTCTTGTGGGACATGAACATCATGCTCTTGTGGGACATGAACATCATGCTCTTGTGGGACATGAACATCATGCTCTTGTGGGACATGAACATCATGCTCTTGTGGGACATGAACATGATGCTCTTGTGGGACATGAACATCATGCTCTTGTGGGACATGAACATCATGCTCTTGTGGGACATGAACATCATGCTCTTGTGGGACATGAACATCTCTTGTGGGACATGCTCTTGTGGGACATGAACATGATGCATGCTCTTGTGGGACATGAACATCATGCTCTTGTGGGACATGAACATGATGCTCTTGTGGGACATGAACAGGACATGCTCTTGTGGGACATGAACAGGATGCTCTTGTGGGACATGAACATCATGCTCTTGTGGGACATGAACATCATGCTCTTGTGGGACATGAACATCATGCTCTTGTGGGACATGAACATCATGCTCTTGTGGGACATGAACATCATGCTCTTGTGGGACATGAACATCATGCTCTTGTGGGACATGAACATCATGCTCTTGTGGGACATGAACATCATGCTCTTGTGGGACATGAACATCATGCTCTTGTGGGACATGAACATCATGCTCTCGTGTGACATGAACATCATGCTCTCGTGTGACATGAACATCATGTTCTCGTGGGACATGAACATCATGCTCGTGTGGGACATGAACATCATGCTCTCGTGGGACATGAACATCATGCTCTTGTGGGACATGAACATCATGCTCTTGTGGGACATGAACATCATGCTCTCGTGGGACATGAACATCATGCTCTCGTGGGACATGAACATCATGCTCTTGTGGGACATGAACATCATGCTCTCGTGTGACATGAACATCATGCTCTCGTGTGACATGAACATCATGCTCTCGTGGGACATGAACATCATGCTCTCGTGGGACATGAACATCATGCTCTCGTGTGACATGAACATCATGTTCTCGTGGGACATGAACATCATGCTCTCGTGGGACATGAACATCATGCTCTCGTGGGACATGAACATCATGTTCTCGTGGGACATGAACATCATGTTCTCGTGGGACATGAACATCATGTTCTCGTGGGACATGAACATCATGTTCTCGTGGGACATGAACATCATGTTCTCGTGGGACATGAACATCATGCTCTCGTGGGACATGAACATCATGTTCTCGTGGGACATGAACATCATGTTCTCGTGGGACATGAACATCATGCTCTCGTAGGTAATGTGTTGAGTAAGGAAGTTGTTCTCACCTGGTGAACAGTATTGCAAAGAGAAAGGCAGTTATTTACCTCTTGAACCTTTAACAATATTCTAATATGAATGAATGATCAAGTACTGTAGAATGATCAGGATTTAGCATAAATTAGTTTTTTAATCCTTTTATAGAATACTTTGTATTTATGTACGTATGAAGTTGTAACATATTTGATGATTTTTCTCCAACAGACTCTAGAAAGTTTCACAATGTTATATTCAAGGTTCGTCAAGGAAAAGAGGTATCTGTATTCAATGAAAGAACAGATGACTCCAGTGCAACACAGTACTTTCAGGTATGCTAATTATTAGTGATAATATTTGCTTGTAAACCCCCACACTGTGATCTGTGATAGTACAAGACTCTTACAGTTTGCCCTGTAGTTGTGGACACCGCAGCACAGGTGTCAGAGCGCACTCTCTTTGCTGTCCAGTCATCTTGCACATGGTATCTGTGCATGGGGTTCAATCTCTGCTAATTACCTCAAGCTTATAATCACTCGGCAAAAATCTGCTATCAGAACAATAACAAACTCTAGTCTACAGACTAGAGCCCCTCTGTTTAAGTCCCTTAACTTGCTAAACATACACTCACTCCACACATTTTCCTGTGCTATTTACATGTACAAAACCTTGTTCCTAAATGCTAATCTTGATCTGAAACTTTTTCTTGATAAATGTAATAGAACCCATGAGCACCACACCAGAAATAAATATCTCTGATATCCCCAGAGTCAAACTAAATCTGTGCAAACACTCCATGCAAATAAGAGGGCCCAGTCTGTGGAACTCATTTCCTGATGAATTCAAAAAAAATTTTCAGCCTATGCTCTATTCAAAAGTAAAATAAAAGGTACTGTACATAATTTCCTCCTCATAGTTCCCTTCCTTGTACTTCAAGCTCACACTGTATCTTGTCCTACCCACTGTCCCAATATTAATTAGTACTTAAGACACATATCCTTACCAGTGTAATCACCTCTGTCAATTTATATTGTAGTTAATTGTTGATATAAAACCTTGCTACAATGTACCTTTTCATTATAGCTATATGTTAGATTATAAGGACCTGGCCAGAACTGTAAGCGTGTTGGTGGCTTTGCATGAATGTACAGATGCCACTCTTATGTAAACTCACCAACCTATTGTATCTTCTTGTGAATAAATTATTATTATTGTTAATATTATTGTTAACTTTGTGCCAGTTCACAGTGGTCCTAAATAAGTCATAACATATTCAACACATACTAGAACACTTGATAGTGTGTGTGTGTGTTTACGCATGGGAGTGTTATTATTATTATTATTATTATTATTATTATTATTCACTTTGAATTACAAGTTGATGCTTTCCTCATTGATAAATACAGTAATTAAATAGCCCAAATGTGTTTTACAAATTTGTGTAGTTTTAGCACACTTGCTAGAGCTCAAATAACTTTGTATATCCTTTATAGTTTACAACTGTGTAATCTTGCTTTACTTAGTTAGGATTTCAGAAACACCTCCGTCTGGTTTCTAATGTTTTTGTTTATATAGAAACTTGTGCTGCCTGGTTTTTGTGTTCTCTCTTGTTATGGAGTTTTCAAGTTTGTGTTTGTATATAATGTTCATTTTTGTAGTAGCTCATATTTCTTAATTTTGGAATTAAATTTGTGGCATGCCTATAGAAGTTTTTTTTTTTGTGGTGAGGTCACAATACCATAGGTGTACTGGGTAGGGTCACCAGTACTGGACTTGTATCAGTGGATAAACCGAAACCACAAAAATACCAAGAACCTCCCAAATATACAGTACTACTGTATCATGTTGAAATATGTGGTGTATATAATGTACACCATAGTACAGTATCTGTAAAGAAATAGTTGGAATAAAAATATGAACTTTTAGTTGTCCATTATTGTATATTTGAAAACTAGGAAAAATATTATTTTGACCAGCAAATGTTAGAGGCCAGATGCTTGGGGTCAGGCTCACCAAATTTTTTTTTTTTTTTTTGGTGGGGAAATGGTGTGCTTTAAGAAATAAAGCCTGTAACCCAACACTTCCAAAGGATTTTCATGAAGTCGGAATTGCAAACGGGATAAAATCTGGCATGTGTTGTACATCATGTTGAAGCTTTTTCCGTGGTTTACCTGTACTCACCTATTTGTGCTTGTGGGGGTTGAGCTCTGGCTCTTTAGTCCCGCCTCTCAACTGTCAATCAATTGGTGTACAGGTTCCTGAGCCTATTGGGCTCTATCATATCTACACTTGAAACTGTGTATGGAGTCAGCCTCCACCAAATCACTTCCTAATGCATTCCATTTGCCAACCACTCTGACGCTAAAAAAGTTCTTTCTAATATCTCTGGCTCATTTGGGCACTCAATTTCCACCTGTGTCCCCTAGTGCGTGTGGCCCTTGTGTTACATAGCATGTCCTTATCTACCCTATCAATTCCGTTGATAATCTTGTATGTGGTGACCATGTCCCCCCTAACCCTTCTGTCTTCCAGCGACGTGAGGTTTAATTCCTATGGTCTCTCCTCATAGCTCATACCTCTCGTGTATGTATTAGACCGTGGCATCAGTCAGTTGGAGTTCTTGCCTACTGGGGACAATGAGCCAAAACCTGACCTCCTCGGAGAGGCAGGAGGAGCAATGGTCTATGGAAACCCCCCATGTATTTGGACACATTCCATGTCTGCCATAGACCAGGGTCTGCCACCCAGAAAGGTAGGTGTAACAAAACAAACCCCATTAGGTAAAATTGCTGCCTAAAACTGAACAGAGAGGCAGAACTCCCAAACTAAAACAAGCAAACGTCTGTTGGTTTCTTTCTTGGTTGGGCTCTCCGTACAGTTTATATTTGGGAAGTGTCCAACATCCTGGCGGTCGGCCTGTCTCGGTTCCCTCCCTTGTTTATGGATTGGACGGTTGACGCCGACTCCTTCAGTTGGCTCTGCCGGACGTACGGGCTCCTAAAGTTGGACCCCTTCACGTCGGTGTGGTCTCGACGTCTCCCAATATATGTGGCACCCTTTCCCGACTGCTGAGCCTTCGTGGTGGACGCCTTTCGGCAGGACTGGTCGAGGTAGAGTTACCTGTACATCTTCCCCCGGTCCAGCTGTTGCTTCGGGTTCTGGCTTAGTTGGAGTCTTACCTCGGGAGAGTCGTCCTTGTGGCCCCTTGGTGGCCGGCCCAGCCTTGGTTTCAGATGCTGCTTGCTTGGTGTGCGAACCCGGGACGTTTAATGCGGCTCTGCCTCTTCCAGCAGATCGGACCAGTCCGGTATTTGGCTGGTTCAGTTTTCTCCGCTCTTTAGATTACTGGTCTTTTTGACACGGGTTTATCACCATTTGTTTGTGATCAGGTGGTCTGTTGATGGTTTCCCACCAGAAAGCTTCGTCTTGGCGACAGTATGAAGTTTCCTGGTGCTCTTTCCACCATTTTCTTTGTCTTTGTAGATTGCCTTCTAGTATTTCTGATTGGGTTGTCTTGCCCTTTCTTGGCTCTTTCAGGACCGTCATTTGATGGCTAAAACTGTTGCCTCGTATCGTGCGTCTCTGGCGGAGCTGCTCCAGCTTGCGTTCAGGGTGGATGTTTTCTCGCCATTGAGTTGAGGAGCGCGAGGCAGCCACCTCCCGGGTAAGTCCCTCTTCTACTTATCTTTGGTTATGTAGCTCCAGGGAGCCAAAGGGGCTTCCCACAGAAAACCAGCATTGGATGTAATGAAACGCCATTTTCTGGGATGAGTCCCGGAGGCTTTCTGGCACCCTCCCAGGTAACCCTCCTTCCCTCCGGTCGACAGTTTTCTTGTTTTTCGTTACTGAGCCCTCCGAACTGGAGTTGCTGAGTATCCAGTACATGGTGTCCAGGGCTCCCCCTCCCTCTCCCAAGGAGGGGGTGGGCTGCGTGTACAAGTGGTGCGATGGCGAGGTGTGTTGTTTGCTTGTTTCCTTGGGATTTGGATGAGTTCTGCCTCTCAGTTCAGTTTTCGGTTGCTATTTTCTTGCCATGTGGGGCCTGTTTTGTCATGCCTACCTTTCTGTAGGCACCTACCTGCACCTCTGAGGGGGGCCAGGTTCTGGCTCGTGGTCCCTGGTAGGCTGAACTTCATTGACTAATGCCCTAGTCTAATATATCGCATATTAGCCCGATTGCTCCAGGGAACCTCTGGGGCTCTCTTGAGGTTATCTTGAGTATATTTTGGGGCTTAGCATCCAGCTGCGGCCCAGTCCTCGACCAGGCCTCCTTTTTTGTTACACATACCCCAGAAGCAGCCCGTAGCAGCTGTCTTAACTCCCAGGTACCTATTTACTGCTCGGTAACAGGGGCATCAGGGTGAAAGAAACTGCCAATTTGTTTCCGCCTCCACCGGGGATCGAATCCGGAACCTCAGGACTGCAAATCTGAAGCGCTATCCACTCAGCTGTCTGGCCCTTAGCTGTCAGCTGTCAGGGTGTGCCTGTCAGGCTCACCCAGAAAATGTCATTTCATTAAATTCAATGCATGTTTTTTCTCCAAATAATCTTTCAACACCAAAATCAGTATACTGTATTCCTAAATATACATTTGCATTCAATATTCACTGAAAAAGTTTCAAATACAAAATTCTGATATTTGATTGTCCCTGAGCCTATTATATGCCTCTGTAACCCTTTCCACTTCTGCCCACAAGATGGGTATGGGGTGCATAATAAATGAACTAAACTAAACTAACTTTCAATAAAGACAAGCAGTTACAGACTCCTGTAATGATCACAAGTCATACATGAGACACCATCATGACATGACTGTAACAGTAGGACTGTTAATATAGAAGACCATAGATCTAACGTTAAAAGTTGGCGTTCACTAGACGGGAGGATAAGCCCTTTGTAAAAATATGGAGCGAGTTGGTAGTTGACCTGAAAGTTTAGGGTCATCCCCCCACGAGGGATTAGAGCTCATGTGTAGTAAACAGTAGCGCCACCTGGACCCTGTGTCGAGTCATCAAACTAGGAGAATAATTCATGTATTAAAAGAAATAGTAGGAAGAATCAATCGTGTTTAAGTACAGTACTTATGTTAAAATTAACGTCAATTGAGAATAAAGAATAAGTCTCGTATGTTATCAAAGAAGCTTGTGACGTCAGTAAGAATAGGGTATCTTTTACTTGGAAAATATGTGCCTACCAGCTTGATTGTTAATTCAGGTAAATTAGTGAAATGCAAGTGCTATTGAATATTGTAATTAGCCTGGCTCAAGTATCTAGATAATTCCCAATTGTTTTGGAATAATAAGTCACCTTCAGTGACGAGTACAGGATTTTAGTTAGTAATCTCTTCAAAGATTAATTTGGGTGGATTTTCCCCCGTTACATGGCAACAATGTTGCTACTTGCACACACAATGTTTCTCATCTCTGTTACTAGCATCGTATGGTTTAGCATTCTATGGCAACTCAACTCAAATCATCTGGGTTGCCAAAGAATGCTAGAAGGCACTTTTTCTACAGAAATTGTCCACAACTGACACTGATTAAAAATAACTGTTTGGTGCATAATTTATTTTGCTATCAAATTGGAAATGGCCCTTTTATATTTTTAAATAATGCAATACAAGACTCAGTGCTTCTCTTGTTTTCAAATTAAAAAACAGAATAGAGGAATATCGGATCATTTGGAATTGCTTTTAAATGGACGGCTTCGTGCCCTATTTTGGTCGTGTCTTGAAAAAGAACTTACTCCCAGTTACAGTTCCCATAATGAACCATGTTCCAGGAATTCAACCCTGTCGGAACTTAGTCCTGCCCAGTCTTTCACCTGGTGCTGCGGTGTTTGGAGTGTCAACTTTGCCCTTTGGGTCCCGGTTTTTCAAGATAAGAGTTGACCATCCTCTAGACTCTTCTATAAGGGCCATTTCCCTATGTCTGTTCCTATTTTCATTATCTTCAGTTGTGTGCATTTACAAGCCTCACTAGTTGTGTGGACCTTAAGTAATCACCTTGAGGTACATGGGCCTAAGGTTTGCTACCCTAGGTTCCTGCTGGTGTTGTCTTTGCTCTGCTGGGGTCAGGAGTCTTTCCTTGTGAGAACTGACCCATGGAAGGTGCTTCACCCTGAGTAATGCACGGATCTGTTTTTCATCTTGAGAGACTCTTGGTTGAGGACAGTCACAGCCATCTTTTGTGGGGAGCCCAGGAGTGTTGCATGCCTGCCTTTATGGTACACTGCTTGCACCTTTACTCCTTTCCAAACTGCATTAGATGTGTTCTTTTTGGCAAGTGGCTCCTACATCTGTTCCTGTTTGGTTTACCGTCAGGGCTACAGGTTACAGGTGGAGGGGTATGCACTATTCATGGTGACCTCTGATAAAATGATGCCCAGGAATGCTGCTGGTGTATGCAGGATTTTTCCAAAATGTCAAGACAAATGCCAGAGGTAACTGGAAGGAAAAAGCTAACATAAAATAAAAAATGACTCGTAAAGAAGCCAGGCTTGATGAAATTGTCTGCAGTTGATTCGAGCAGGCAGTCGGTTACCATCTTTAGGTGATGGGAGCAGTATGAAGGTGATTGAATAGTTGTGGTATCCATTTGCCCAAACTGCTGCTGTTGGGACTGTATAAACATCAGAGGTCCACAGTTGTTCAACATCCTCCCAGTGAGTATAGGACATATTGTTCTCTCTTCAAGAGAGAACTAGATAGTTTTCTTCAAGTAGTACTGGACCAACTGGGCTGTGGGTGGGTATGTGGGCCTGCGGACCGCACAAAGCAACTGCCTGTTGGACCAAGTTCTCACACGTCAAGCCTGGCCTCAGGCCGGGCTTGGAGAGAACAACTACTCCCAGAACCCCATCAAGCAGGTATCAAGCAGTCAGAAAGAATTTGTGAAGTTTTGATTATTAAACTGCTCATAATCAAAAGTCACTATGGGAGATAGTGACTTTGTGGGGACTATTGTTAGTCTGTGTGATGTTGAGTAGTCTATGGAAGGAATTAGAGTTTTTTGTGTGTTTTCTGGTTACATCTGTATAAACTTTAGGGAACAGTATGCAAAGTATGACAGTGTGAGACCCTAACTAGGGGTTCATTCATGTCTTGCATTAAGGAGCAATCAAGCTAGATAACTCAGGAAATGCAATGTGAGATCTTATTAGTTTGATGTGTAGTTTCTGTAGGCCTATCAATTTTCCTTGTTTTACTCATAATTTGTGTGGTAGGACAGTACTATATTAAATGACTGTTTTGTTGTTATATCATGAAATGTCAACATTGTTCTTAGTCTTGTACACACGCTGACATTTCTCAGTATTTGAAGAAAGTGTCTAATAGTTTTTTCTTCAGTTTTACAGTTACCTTTCCCAGCAACAGAATATGATGCAGGTGTGTGCGCTATTTTTCTTTTACCCCTGGAATATGTAAATAACTGAGACTTGAATTATTAAGGAATAAATGTAATGTAATGAATTTGCAATGGTGTATTTATTGTATTCACTGCCGATGGCAATACAGTAATGCATTCCCTGCATCTTCGGGCAGGATTACATCCGAACTGGAACGTATCAACGTGCAATTCTCTCCAATATGAGTGACTTCAGGGACAAAATTGTTTTGGATGTTGGGGCCGGTTCTGGAATTCTTTCTTTCTTTGCTGCTCAAGCCGGGGCTCGTAAAGTGTACGCAGTTGAGGCATCGTCCATGGCACAGCATTGCGAGGTAATTCTGTCTGTTTTTTTATGCAATTTATTTATAAATTTGGTCAATGTTTTGTCATATTGTTCAGTAGTGGTTTTTACCATCTTTGTATTATAATAAGTCTTGTAAACTTAAGGATGGTTATTGAAATAAATGATCTGTGAATAAATTTATGTACTTAATTATTACAACTAAAAGTCTCATCCACAGGAGTCGCTTTTATCTACACTGCTTAATGGCGGTAAAAATAATTGTTTTGCAGATGTTAGTGAGATCGAACAATCTTCAAGACACCATCAAAGTAATAGCTGGCAAGATAGAGGAAATTGACTTGCCAGATATGGTAGATATGATAATATCTGAACCAATGGGTTACATGTTGTATAATGAGCGTATGCTTGAGACATATCTACATGCCAAAAAATGGCTTAAACCAACCGGTCGAATGTTTCCTTCCCGAGGTGACCTTCACGTGGCTCCATTTAACGACGAATCACTTTATTACGAGCAGCTCAACAAGGCAAATTTCTGGTAAGAGCAGAATTAAATGTAAATGCATAAAAATACATCATTTCTCTATCTCTTCTCATTTATTTCATAAACTGTGGCAGTACATTTTTGTTCTAATCACAACAACAATTTATTGTTGAATCTTGTATTTTTTCTGTTATTTGTTGCCTTTATAAATCAGCCTTATGATTTTGTTTCTTTTGTCAATCTAAGTGATTGTAAACTTGATTTGAGTGGATAACTTAGCCTCTGCTTGGGTCAGAGTTTATGAACATGCACATTCCATACACATTCTCAGGACCAAAGAGCCAGAGCTCAACCCCCGCAAACACAGCTAGGTGAGTACATTATGGGTGACCTTAGACAAGCTGCCAATTTCCAGTCCCTATTCGAGGCCACTAGAGAGATAGTGGCCTTCGGGTGAATTTAGATAAATATTCCATCGAGGGAACTAACTTAGATATTTTGGTTCTATGTTTGTGAGAAGGAATACTGTATCAGTATTGGGTCTTGAATATATATCAAACATTTAAAGATGATACCATCTTCACTTTCCAGTGTCCGCTTGGTTTGGCTTGGAGGCACTTAACACTTTCAGCCTCCCGGCGAAGGTAAAAAAAAAAAAGCGGTATGTGCTCCCAGCGTTTTGCCGCGTAAGCGTAAAAACAAAAATGTGTATACTCTTTACTCTCCTGACCTTAGTTCTCGAGTTACGTATTTCATTTTGGTACCAACGTGTTCGCAATAAAATTCTCTAGAAGAACATCAGTAAAAAAAAGTCACGAAACGTATAGGGATACCAGCACCAAATAAATAACTACGAAGATGACTCGCTGTGAGCGCCCAACAGCAACAAAATGTTTTTACTCTTGGGATTGTTATCACCTCCACACTTGTCCTACAGCGTTAATTTTGGTATCAATGGACTCGCAATGAAATTCTCAACACGGTGATATGAATATAAGCGTAGAATAATGATTGCGGCCTGCCCGCAAGAGTGTGGGAAGTGGTGGAATTGTTACCCGGTATCGGTGACGGGACGACACACGGCGCTTTGAAAGTTCATACTTATTTCACTCTCATGACATTATTATTCTATGTACGTCATTCATTTTTGTGTCAATGTGTTCGCAATAGAATGTTCTATGAGCCCGTAGGTAAAAAAGATCAACAAAGCGTAAGATAGAATAGCGCCAAATATAAAACAACGCTGGAACATATCAGTGAGAGTCAAACACACACGAAATGTTTTTACTTTTGTTATGTTTGTGAACTTTTCATGAACTTATTGTGCCATGCAGCCTATTGGTGAGAAAGAGAGCCTCATAGCGCGCAGTTTGAAACAAACCCAAAGTAAATCGGATAAAAATTGAATTTTATACAAATATTTTAAAAGAGGACATAAGTTTATGTCCACCTAGCGGGAGCGGGTAGGCAAAACAGGACGCCGGGAGGAGTCCTCATCTGCAGAAAGTGTTAACTGGAATGCATGGAAAAGTATTGTAGGAAATAATGTTCAGGATATTTGCATTGACTACAGAAATTTCAAGAAGCAGAGCAAAAGCATTCATCTAAATCTCATTGTTGAGAAAAACCCTGGATGCCATTGTGCAACTGATCCAATGGTGGTGGCAGTTTTACCAGAGGGAAACAGTATACTGTAACACTTTGACCTGTAGTGGCTTCCTTCCCTGCTTTTACCTACACCACATTCACAATGAATATAGAGCAATCATTGTGGGGTTAGTGGCAGTGCTTACCTACCAGTGACTATGGGGGGGTACTGAGATCTAGATTTTTATGCCCCAAAATTCCTAGCCAACATTAAACCTTCCGAACACCTTCTCAACATTAAAGTTTTCATCATATTTCTTCTTAATTGTGGATGGAATTGACTTCAACAACCTCTTCCTTCAGTGCATTCTACATGTCGACCACCTGGACTGGGAATGACAACTTCCCTAGACTTCTTCGACTTACTTGCAGTTCTAGCTTCCACAAGAGTCTTGTCCTACCTCCTTTTAATTTAAATAGGGTTCTTTTATTCACTTTATTTATTCCCCCACCCCCCTCAAGATCTTGTATGTAGTTATCATATTCCCTTATGTTTCTTCTCTCCTCTAAGGTTATGAGCAAGAGTTCTTTCAACCTGTCCTCATAGCTAAGGCCTCTTAACTTCTGGACCCGGATTCACAAAGCAGTTACGCAAGCACTTACGAACGTGTCCATCTTTCCTCAATCTTTGACGGCTTTGGTTACATTTATTAAACAGTTTGCAAGCATGAAAATTTCCCAATCGACTGATGTTATTGTTATAAACACCATCCTGGTGCTTCGGAGCTCATTAACTTTAATAATAGTAAACAAAGCCGTCAAAGATTGAGAAAAGATGGACAGGTTTGTAAGTGCTTGCGTAACTGCTTTGTGAATCTGGCCCCTGGTACTAATCTAGTTGTCAACCTCTCATCTTTCTCAAGTTTCTGTTTGTGCTTCACATGGTGTGGGTTCCATGCTGCTGCTGCTGCCTACTCAGGTAATGGTCTCTCATAAGCAGTGTGTGTGCATTTGAAGGCCTCCTTGTTTACATTCTTAACTAAGATTCGAACCTACGTCAGAGATCATCCCAGACATTTATGTAGATGAACATTTCTGGTGCAAGAACTGAACCCTGTGGTACTCTGCTGGTAACACTCCTCTAGTCAGATACATTGCCTCTGATTACTGCCCTCATCTGTCTGTCAGTAAAAAAAAAAAAATCATCCATGTCAGAAGTCTCCCTATCACTCCTCCAGCATGTTTGTTTCCAGAACAGCCTCTTGTGTTGGACTCTGTCAAAAGCCTTTTTTAGGCCCAGATAGACAGTCAACCCAACCACCTCTTTCTTGTAGTATCTCAGGGGCTCTATCATCAAAATTAAAACGGATTTGTTACACAGGATCTTCCTGTTCGAATTCCTGTTGATACACAAATGTCTCCAGAATGAGGTTTATAAACCTGCTTGTCCAAATGTCCTCTGTTCTCATTTTTTAGGCCTCCCAGTCTATTGCTTTCAAGTTAGAGTTCCCCGGTACCAACAACCATGATTTATCTTTATCTGCTCTAACTATAATCTCTCTCATGACCATTATGAGGCACCCTCGTTTGTCATTTAGTTCCTCCTTTGTCCATGTGTTGCTTGCTGGTGGGCTGTAGGCATTTACGATTATCAGTTCATCCTGGAATCATCCTGATTCCAGACCTGCAATGTCATTATGGCAACTTCTGGGAGTTGTCGATTATCAACTCTCTTATCATCAGGTAAGAGCACAACACAGCCACTCCTTCCCCTTCCTAGTTTTCCTGTCATGTCTCCAAACTGAAAAGCCCCTTGGGAATACCACCTCATTTATAATATTTTCTTCAAGTTTCGTCTCTGTTAGTGGGACAATATCTGGGACCTTAAACTGAATTATATCTTTTAGCACCAAATTTTTTTATCTCACTTAAAACTTTCGGCCTTCGGTGATGGATATTGCATCTATAAATAACTGTACGGATGTCCGGTGGTGACACATTTTGTGTCCAAAATTAAAATATTTGTTAAAATTTCATATTTTTCGATCATTATGAGACTTGTTTTAAAATGTGAAAAAGGTGCGCCAATGTCTTCCCATTTTCTGTAATGGGCCATGTGGCATCACGGTACCGCCTGCCACACCATTGTTATCGTGTCTACTCTCGTGACTGCTGTGGCCTCCTCTTGCGTCCAACACGTGTACCCGTTCCGGCTATTTTTCCTCGGCTATATTTGTTACTGCCTTTATACACTCTACATTTACTCCAAGAGGGATAGTGATCAAGAACAGAGCCATTTCAGGACGAAATCAGGGAAAGAACCACGTCTGAGGAAGAAGATAAGTAGTGTTTGCCAAAAGTACAACAAAGTGAAACTCACACCAACAAAATTCCAGGCTTTAGTTGAAGAATTTTCTGATCTTGATCTTGAAAGTGCCAAAAGTGACAGTGATGTAGATAGTGAGGTGGTTGAAACTGAAACAGCAGGTGAGGGTGAAATTGAAAGTGAGGGGAGTGATGATGATGATGATACCGCCACACATGCAGGACCTGCTATTAGAACTCGTACCGCACTTACCCCACGCACCAGTTCTGGTGAAGCCTGGTCTACTGACAACACTGCACCATTTGTAGACAGTTTTACTGGAACACCAGGCTTGACTGTACCAGTACCAAGCACTCCTCTGGGATTTTTACAGTTATTTATTATGCGAGAATTGGTATGGTATATGAAATATATAGTATATGAAACCAACTTGTATGTATCACAAAACATGGCCAATACTTATAACAACACAAACAATAAGTGGGATGAAGTGAGTGTAACAGAGCTTGCCAGATATTTGGCACTGAGAGTGTTAATGGGCTTTGTGAAGATGCCAATGATGAGGCTGTACTGGCAAACAGGTAAATTGTGGCATGTACTTTCTTTCAATACTTCTATGACTGTGAGATTATATGAATTGATTGCAAAGTATTTTCATACTCATAACAATACTGCCATTCCCAAAGACAATCAAGACAGACTAATAAAAGTTAGAACATTCATGGAATATCTCTCACACATAAGTGCAAAACATTAGACATTCCTCAGAAAAATCTGTGTTTGGATGAAGGCACAATGTCATGGAGGGGCCATCTAGCTTTCAAGGTTTGTAATCCCAATAAACCTGATAAGTATGGAGTAAAGCTGTACATGCTGGCTGAATCACATACTGGTTACATCTGTGATTTTGAAGTGTATGCAGGAATTAGGAAGACAACAATTCAAACAGTTATGATCTTGATTGAACCACTGAAGAACAAAGGTTACCATTTATACATGGATAACTGCTATAACTCGGTTCAACTGAGTGAAAAGCTGCTTGAAGAAGGTGTATACACCTGTGGTACTCTCAGATTGCAGCGTGGTGCACCAAAAGATCTTCAGCTACAAGCAAAGGGTAAACTGCCAGTAGATAAATCTG